AGGCCAAGGCTGGCAGCTCACCTGAGGTTGGGAGTTCAAGACCAGCCTGACCAACATGGAGAAACCCCATATTTATTAAAAATACAAAATTAGCCGGGCATGGTGGCACATGCCTGTAATCCCAGCTACTTGGGAGGTTGAGGCAGGAGAAACACTTAAACCTGGGAGGCGTAGGTTGTGGTGAGCCGAGATCACGCCATTGAGCTCCAGCCTGGGCAACAAGAGCGGAACTCTGTCTCAAAAAAGAAAAGAAAAATAGCTAGAAGAGAACATTTGGAATGTTTCCAACACAAATAAATAATAAATGTTTTAGATGATGGCTATTCCAGTTTCCCTGATTTCAACATCACACACTGTATGCATGTATCAAAATATTACATGTACCCTTAAAATATGTACAATTACCATGTATCAACTTAAACAATTGTTAAGTCAGAGAAAAATATATTGGTGAATATGTGTTAGTACTCCAGCAACACACAATCTATGGAAGAGATAAACATGAATATAGTTTACCACAAGGCTCATTGGTATATAAAATGCAAAATAAAAACATGTACTGATGCTTATTAGACTCAGGCTACTCTTCTAAGGGCTTTACATGTATTCACCCTCTTATCTGCAGTTTTGCTTTCCATGATTTCAGTTACCAGTAGTCAACTGTGGTCTAAAACTATTAAGTGAAAAATTTCAGAAACGAACAATTAAAAGTTTGAAATTACACACTCTTCTGAGTAGCATAATGAAATCTCATGCTGTCCTGCTCTGTTCTGTTCAGGATGTGAATCATCCCTTTGTCCAGCTTATCCACATGCTATCTGCCTGTTAGTCACTTAATCAGATCAAAACAACATAGTACAACATGCATAGGGTTCAGTACTACCCAAGGTTTCAAGCATCCACTGGGGTCTTGGAACATATCACTCACAGATTAGAGGGCACTACTGTATTAATTTATTTAATCCTCACAATGACTCTTAAAATAGATACTAGTATTGTCTATATCTTTCAGAATAAACTGATGCTCAGAGAAGTTAAATATGTTGCCCAGGATTGCACAGCTGGTGGCATGAAGAAGTAGATGAATTGGAAAATGCAGGAGGAAATATTTATTTAATGAAGGATCTGAAAAAGCATCACATCATGGAAATATGGGTTTGGAGCTAGATCTTCAGGCAAAGTAGTTATGAAATGTGCTAGGGGTCAGGTGGCATATTCTAGATTACAGAATAGCTTGAGCAAGACATAGAAGTGGATTTTCAGGGAACAAGGAATCGTCACATTGTGGCTGTTGTGTATGCCTACACCCTGGGTGTAAGGTGGGAATTAAGTGGATGGGTATGTTGGGAATTATGACTGGTCATTAGCTCAACTGTGGAGGGTCTCTAGTGGCCCACCCAGCTTCTGGTCCTTCCTATAGCCTCACAGATGTACTGTAATCTTCCATCCCTAGTCAACCTGGGTACTTCTAGTGAAGTTAACTCCACACCCAGGTACAGAGTAGCTCCTGATTTGCTTAAGCCCATCAACACTTTCCATTCCCCTGGACACAAGATGGGTGTGAGGTTGGGCCTGTAACCCAACCCTATCCAAACAAGTGAATGTTAGAACTCTTGCCCAGCATTCTGGGACAGAACTCTCTCTCTCTTTCTCTCTCCCTTTGAAAGTGTGCAAGTGTCTAGTCCACAAGCTATGGGCTTTTTCTTGCAAGCACAAGACCAGCCAGCCTCAGTACAGAAAGAAGCTGGCACCTCAGGAGGCATGGCAGGGCGACATAAAGAAACTTAGTCCTTGGTCACATCATTGAGTCAGTTCTCCCATCTCTGGACCTTCCTGTTACATGAATCTGGAAAGCATGTTTTTGTTGAGTTTTGTTTGTTCATTTGTTTGAGATAGGGTCTCACTTTGTTGTCTAGATTGGAATAGAGAGGCATTAATATGGTTCACTGCAAACTCTACTTCCCAGGCTCAAGTGATCCTCCCATCTCAGTCTCCCAGCTAGCTGGAACTACAGGCACATGCCACCTTGCCCGGCTAATTTTTCTATTTTTTGTAGATACAGGGTTCTACCCTGTTGCCCAGGCTGGTCTCAAACTCCTGAGCTCAAGTGATCTGTGTGCCTCAGGATCCCAATGTGATGGAATTACTGGCATGAGTCACCATGCCCAGAGAGTAAATTTTCTATTTAAGCAGTGTGAGTCAGGCTTTTTGTTACTTGCAATATAAAGTCTTCAATAGTAGGATGTGTGAGGGGTTTTGTGTTTGTTTGTTTGTTTGTTTGTTTGTTTGTTTTTTTGAGAATGAGTCTCACTCTGACACCCAGGCTGGAGTGCAGTGACACAATCTCAGCTCACTGCCACCTCTGCCTTCCAGCTTCAAGCAATTCTGGTGCCTCAGCTTCCCAGATAGCTGGGATTACAGGCATGCATCACCATGCCCAGCTAATTTTTGTATTTTTAGTACAGATGGAGTTTCGCTATGTTGGCCAGGCTGGTCTCCAACTCCTGGCCTCAAGTGATCCACTTGCCTAGGCCTCCCAAAGTGCTGGGATTACAGGCATGAGCCACTATGCCTGGCCAGGAAGTGTAGTTTTAAACCATTGTTCTAGTAAGTAGTTTAAACAGCTTTTTCGTTGGCCACATGGAGGGTAAATTAGTTAGCAAATCCCAATACAAGGAGATGGCTGGAGACTACTGCAATATGCCCAGTGAGAATCAGTGCAGGCAGGAGTTAAACGTCAATAGTAGACAGAGAAGATTTGAAAGAAGAAGCATTTGTGCAAAGCTTATATAAAATGGGCTGTTACATTTAGCTGGGACAGAAAGCTTCATTTGTTCTATTTAATCCCACTGCAATAAAGGATTGTTTGAAGAAAAAAAAAAAACTTCTAATATTATACCAGATCCCTTAAGTCTGTTTACTACTCTCATCCCTAAGACAAAAAAAAGGGGGCCAGGGACGGTGGATCATGCCTGTAGTCCCAACTACTCAGGAGGCTGAGGCAGGAGAATCGCTTGAACCTGGGAGGCAGAAGCTGCAGTGAGCTCGGATCACACCATTGCACTCCAGCCTGGGCAACAGAGTAAGACTCCATCTCAAATAAAAGGAAAAGAGAATTACCTCCATTAATTATTTTTTCATTATCCAGTTTATGTTTTAACTTCATATTGCTCATTCATTCATTATATCCCATATTCCATGCTAAATAGTTCATCTTTCCAGGAATTTCTGTCCTTCAAATGTGTACAGCCTGATGTCATATCCCTCAAAGTCATCAAGCAACTCAGTTCCACCTACTTAGCTCCTTCAAATCTTTCTTCATCTATTAGGTCCTTTCAGCTGGGCGCGGTGGCTCACGCCTGTAATCCCAGCACTTTGGGAGGCTGAGGCGGGTGGATCACGAGGTCAAGAGATCGAGACCATCCTGGTCAACAAGGTGAAAACCCGTCTCTACTAAAAATACAAAAAAAATTAGCTGGGCATGGTGTTGCGAGCCTGTAGTCCCAGCTACTCAGGAGGCTGAGGCAGGAGAATTTCTTGAACCCAGGAGGCGGAGGTTGCGGTGAGCTGAGATCGTGCCATTGCACTCCAGCCTGGGTAACAAGAGTGAAACTCCAGCTCAAAAATAAAATAAAATAAAATAGATCCTTTCATTCCTCTGCACATAAGGAACTATACTCACATGTATTCCCTCCATTCTGTTTCACAGCTCTTTAGTGGCAATGGCCCAGTGTGTACAATCTATTCCATGTGTCCTGACTCGGCAGGAAATGGGGAGTGGTAGAGCAGGCAGTGCAATTCTGTAGGTCAAACAGAAGGCTAGGATGGGTGCCATTATTGTATTGGGCTTGGAGTGAGAGGAACAAGTTTGCAGCCTATTGTGCTCAGCTGCATGTCTTGGGACAAGCCACTTGACCTTCTGAATCTTAGTATTTTCAGTTATAATACACAAATGAGATTTAGCCTATAAGGGGAGCAAGTCTATCTTATATTCTTCCTTTATCCCTGCTCCCCTATTCCCTAAGGAGAATGAGGGCTGAGATTAATGAATCGAAGACTTGTTTCTGAGCCAAGTGGTAAGGAGTATGGTCTTACCCTCTAAAGAATTATAATCTCTTTGAATTGCAAATCCCTCATGGCCAGTAACTAAGGATAGGTCCTGGGCTACTGTAGCCTAGGAGCTATGCTGCTCTGATTAAGTAAAAAAATAAGCCAGGCCTGCTATAGACTTAGAAAGAATCTTCTTTTCCTCTCCTTTATTTATCTCATATTTTCTTGAACCAGCCTCTCCTTGGACCCAGGGCAGAAAAACAGAAGGCTGAGAATTAAGTAAAGCTTGGTGGCAGGCAAGTAAAGCTTGGAGCCTACTGACCACATTGCTGCCTCTGCTCTGTCACTGGGAGCCCTCCAACCAGTCCAGCCTGGGTCCTGGTCATGCCCCGGGGCTGAGGAGCAAAAGACTTCGACTTGGTTTCAGCACATGTCTTTGGGAACAGAGGCAAGGCAGTATGGAGCTTCAAGCTTTCAGCTTCTCCTAGTCTTTTTCTACCTCAAGAGAACTAATCCTAATAGCACCATCTTATAGGATTGTTATGACAATGTTATGAGATCACCTAAGAGAAAATGTTTTGAAAACTATTCAAAAATGGAAAGTAACAATCTTGAATTCTAAATTCTTCCTATTTTAGTTTCCTCATCTGTTAAATGTAGTTTTAAAACATTTTTTAAAAATACTCATGAGTCTTTGAGGGATTGCTAGAGAAAAAATGTTGTTGTTGTTGCTACTGTTGATGGTTTTTTTAAAAAAAAAAAAAAAAAAAAAAGGGCAATCCAGGCCAGGCACAGTGGCTCATGCCTGTAATCCCAGCACTTTGGGAGGGCAAGGTGAGTGGATCACCTGAGGTCAGGAGTTCAGGACCAGCCTGGACAACATGGTGAAACCCTACGAAAAATACAAAAATTAACTGGACATGATGATAGGCGTCTTTAGTCCTACCTACTCAGGACTGAGGCAGGAGAATCACTTGCACCGAGGAGGCAGAGGTTGCAGTGAGCCCAGATTGTACCACTGCACTCCAGTCTGGGAGACAGAGCAAGACTCCATCTAAAAGAAAAAGAAAAAGAAAAAGGCAATTTATAGTCATGGAAATTATTTCATTTTAACTTTATTAACAGTTTTGGCCTTGAAATTCTTTATAAAATAAATATACTGCCAGGTGCAGTGGTTCACACCTGTAATCCCAGCACTTTGGGAGGCCAAGGCAGGTGGATAATGAGGTCGAGAGATCGAGACCATCCTGGTTAACATGGTGAAACCCCATCTCTACTAAACATACAAAAAATTAGCTGGGCATGGTGGCACATGCCTGTAATCCCAGCTACTCGGGGAAGTGAGGCAGGAGAATTGCCTGAACCCAGGAGGCGGAGGTTGTGGTGAGCCGAGATCGTGCCATTGCACTCCAGCCTGGGAAACAAGAGCGAAACTCCGTCTCAAAAAAATAAATAAATAAATATACTGTTAGACCTCTTATAGGCCTTATGCCTATTCATAATCTTGTAAATCTTTCAGAAAATAGGGCCACCCATTTACTATAATCTCTCGTTGAGAAGATATAGTTGGTTTTACTCTTAACAATGTGTAACTGTTTCATTTTAGATTCCTTGTAATTACATAAGTCCTAGCAGTAATAAGCCTCTTCTGAGTCACAGTGACTCTACCCCACCAGCAAGATCGGTTCGTCTATTCAATAGTTCACATATATTGTATTGTGTACCATTGCTGACCCTCATACAGTTCACAAGCGGAAAGCATGGCCTGGGCCCGTAGGAGCTATGCTCCAGGCAGCTGGCATTGATCTTATAGATACGAACAGATATAAATCTCAGCCAAGCTCCTACATATGTTCCAAACATCATGTGTTCTTTAACATAAAGAACTAGACATGTTGGGGCTTTAAATAAGGTCTAATTTCCCGAAAGCACAGCCAGCATTTCAGAGGGAAAAAACAAAAACAAAAAACTTCAAGACTGGAAATTCTATTTAAGAAACCCAGGAGTTTTTCTATCTTTAAGGCAGTAGATGACTGGATGTGTAAAGATAATTATACCAGATTGGAAGTAAAAATCAGCCAAATCACTGTACAACTAAGAGCAGATCTCACCAAAGCCTTATTATAATGCAGGTGTTACTACACTCCATCTTCCTTCCTCAAGGGGTGCCTTTGCTGAGCCCTGGTGCTATCAAAGGGCTGAGTCTTTCCCCCTGGGTTTTTTTCTTTTTTGAGATGGAATCTCACTCTGTCACCCAGGCTAGAGTGCAGTGGTTGTGATCTCGGCTCACTGCCACCTCCACCTCCCAGGTTCAAACAATTCCCCTGCCTCAGCCTCCTGAAGAGCTGGGATTAGAGGCACACACCACCACACCCGGCTAATTTTTGTATTGTTAGTAGAGACGGGATTTCACCACGTTGGTAAGGCTGGTCTCAAACTCCTGACCTCAGGTGATCTGCCCACCTTGGCCTCCCAAAGTTCCGGAATAACAGGCATGAGCCACTGCGCCTGGCAGGGCTACGTTTTTCTCTGTTCAATCTCTGCACCTCTAACTGGAGGATTTCAGGGGATTCCACGTCAGAGCCTACACCAGAGCCTGGAAAGAAAGAGATTAGGCACACATTGCCCCTTGCCCTGGCCACCCCGACCACCACATGACCTGGCAAGTGCACACATGAAGCCTGATGCTGGGGAGCTGGCACCATCTGGGAGGAGAATCACAGTGTTGGAGGATAACGTAGACCTTCTGGCTCCTGTCACCTGCCCTCATGCCACATAAAGAGAAAGCAGCAAGGTACAGGCCTCCCAGGAAGGTATTGATTCCAACCTTTCTCTGTCATTTGTCCCACGTTTGCTTTTTAAGTAGGCAGACTAGGCCGGACCCTCATGACGAAGTATACGCTGTTGAACAAAAAGAGTTCCTGCCTGACCTGGTCCCAGAGCAAAGGTGAGGATGAATCCTTCCATTCGGGTTTAAGCTTCTCACCAAAAGAGATCCAGACCTCTTGTTTCCTCATCATGGATCTTAAGGGCATCTCTGCCTTGACAACACAAACACTGATATCTAATTCTCAAAACATTCCTTTTTCTCAGCTTAATGTTACTGGTAAAAGAATTTTTTTACATTATTAGCCCTGCCCTTTTTACATGGGGGTGCACTGGGCTTCTTCCTGCTAGTTTGAGGCCAAATGTTCACTCTCTAACCCAAAGAAATTGCCACTACAAATTCTTTGAATTCAGCTTTTGCCTGAAAGAGGGAGGTAAGAGTAGTGGTGGGGGTTGGGAGGAGTTTCATTTTCCCAATGCCCCAACCTCAATTAGCATTTTAGGGTACAGGGGGAAAATCTGGACATTTTCTGTGTAGGAACTCAAAATGATTACTTGACTAAATTTGCATTCTGAGACAAGAATTTGTAATAACCCCTAAATAAATTAGAAATGTATTAAATCAATGAGATTTTGACAGATTTCTATTTTGTGGGTGGAGATGGGGAAGACTCCTTGAGGCTGAGGAACCTGCAGGAGGTGACTCTGCTCACGCAGACTCTTGACCTTTCACCCAGGATGGCTTGGGCGTGGGGTTAACAGTCTCCTAAACCTGCCTGGAGCAATACAAAAACAAACATCAACATTCTCTGCACAGACTGAAGCGCTGAGATGTTCCAGCAACCCACATTACAGAATGCCATTTCAATCCCAACTAACCATATCAGTGAATCGTCCTAAAGTCACCTGGGGCAGTGTATTGCAAATTGACAGCCACTGCCCACTCAATGTAATAGGCAATGACCAGTGTTTCTAAAAATGAGAAAAAGAGTATAGTAGAAAACATTAGAGTACATTGCACATCATGAAGGTAAGTATTTTTTATGAAATACTTAGTTCAGGTAGGTAGGTAGGTGATGCATCTTTACTGTGGGCTGGGTCATAATATACAATGCATTTCTACCATGCTCTTTGTCAAAGTAGACAAACAATGGCCAAGGTGTGCTCTCATTATTTAGTCCTCCCTTTCTTTTTTTGCCCTGTCACCCAAGCTGCCGTGCAATGGCATGATCTCATCTCACCGCAACTTTTACCTTCTGAGTTCAAGCGATTCTCCTGCCTCAGCCTCCTGAGTAGCTGGGATTACAGGTACACACCACCACACCTGGCTAATTTTTTGTATCTTTAGTAGAGATGGGGTTTCACCATGTTGGCCAGGCTGTTCTCAAACTCCTGACCTCGTGATCTGACCACCATGGCCTCCCAAAGTACTGGGATTATAGGGGTGAGCCACCGCGACCAGCCTTAGTCCGCTTTCTTTCTTTTTAATTTTTTTCAATGGAGCTTTCCAGCAAAAACAGCTAGACAAATTCTAAAAGCGCTGTAACACTTCTTTAAGAAAAAAAAAAAAACAAAAAACAAAAAAACTCTTCTTTTTCAAGGCTGCCAAATAAACGGTGTGCTTCATTTCTCATTCCCTTGCATCCATAGTCCCCAGAGATATCAAACAGCCTCTGCATAGCCATCAGGGTTTTACCTGCCTTGAAGGGATGATTGCAAGACATATATTACATTTTAAGATGGGAATGGCCTGGGTAAAATGAGAGCCATTCATGAAAATTCCACACATTTTGCAGAACTTGAACTGATCACACACCATTTTTCTTTTTCTGGTCAAGGTAGTAAGTGGTTTTCAGGATTTGGCCCAAGATTCATCAGAGTCCCATGCATCATGACACCCGCTATTGCTAGGCTTCTAAAACCCTGTGTATTTGCACAGGCCCTCTTTGGACAGTGAGCTGGACTGACCTAATGACCCTCCAGTCTGTGCAGTGGCTGAGAATGACCCACTCCCAGCAACCCTGCTGCAGCCAACGGGCTAATCCTCCCTGAGCTGAAGTCTGACATGGTGTGAACCACAACCTCCCCCTCACAGCTGTTTTAGCATTTCATGCGCCTGACAAGAAGCATTTACGTCTGACCTAAACCTCACCTGTTGCAACGTGACTCCACTCATTCACTCTGTCACCAGAGTGACAGTCACCAGATATTTCTGGAGCCCCTGCAATGGGCTTGTCATTACACGAGGTGCTGCAGAGCTCACAGTCCCGCCACAGAGACAACACACTCATAAATCACAATGCCAGGTCACATGTTTGGCAAAGGCCATGAGGCTCTAGGTGTGCAGTGAGGGGACAAAGAGGGTTGGCCTTGGAAGGTCTGGTGTGGCTTATAGAGATGCTGGTTATCTCTTGCAGTCATCTAAGTGCAGATGGAAAATAGTTGGTATCTTCCTCCTAAGAGTGACACTCCCCAAATTTCTCTATTGACTCTTGACGAAATATTCTCAATGAACTTTTCTTTTTATATCCAATTTTTAGTCCTTCCAGAAATTTTATTGTCAAAGTCTGTTAATTTTGTGTCTCTTTTTGCTGTGGGTTGAATGTTGTGTCTTCCCAAAATTCACTGGTTAAAATCCTAAACCCCAAGTATAATGGTATGAGGAGGTGGGGCCTTTAAGAGGTGATCAGGTCATGAAGGTGGAGCCCTCATGAATTGATTTAGTGCCATTGTAAAAAAGACCCCAAGAGACTGAGACCCTCACCCCTTCTGCCATGTGAGGATACAGAAAAGACAGTGTCGATGAACCAGGAAGGAGGGTCCTCACCAGATGCTGAATCTGCCAGCACTTTGATTTTGAATTTCTCAGCCTCAGAACTGTGAAAAATAAATTTCTATTGTTTATGAGTTATCTATGTTATGGTCTTTTGTTATAGCAGCCCAAACAGATAGAGACTCTCCCTGTATAATCTAAGTTCTATGGAAGTAAGCACTTTATCTATTTTGTTCCTTGCTCTACCTTCAGCATCTAGCACAGTGCCTGGCAATAAATATTTGTTCAACAAATGTATGAGCCCATTTTCTATGGGCTTCATTAGGCTGAGATGGGGATGTAGGGCTGATGTTTAAAATGGGTTCCTTTTATAAATAATGAAACCAACATCTCAAGCTCTCCCTACCCACTGTTGTAGGACCTCCATGCCCTCCAGGTCTCTCCTGCTTGCTTCT